AAGCAGAGAGGCCGCATTCATTTTACGTCTTTCAGTCCCGACTAGATGGGCCAGCCTGACAGGAATCAGCAAGAAAGTCACAAATGGGAACAACTTAAAAACGCTGCATACTGTTTACTAGAGGCACGAATTCTGAGAGAAATGTTTATATTTCAGATAAGAAAATCCAAATTAGGCAACTTTCCATCCATTGGAGCAAATTAACCAGGCGACACAAACCATAGTGGCATCATACATTTAGGTTATACTTGGCCAAACGGTGAGAAATTAAGTCAGTTAATTTTAAGTTTTCAGTTCTCTTAATACATTATATTTTGCATTAAATAAAAACATTGATGGAAAAACATCTATTAACATGTATCCCCATCTGAGCACAAATCTGTTCAACTTATCAAGCTTCTTGGAATAAACAGACTTAGAAAAAAAAAAAAAAAAAAAGAGAACATTTTTATTCTAACAAGTGGAAAGCCAGTTACTTCCATACACTGAAAAAAAAATTTAATCTCACTTAGTTTTTTCTTAAAATAAGTGCATCTTTTTATATTTAGGAGGTAAGTGAGACAGTTTGACAATGGAATAAGACAATTTACATTTGAAATAAGAAAAAAGTAACTGCATTGTCTTATTTCAAATGAACATTATCTAATTTTCTTATTTGAAGAATAAAAATACTCATTCCATTGGCAAACTATCTCATTTACATACTCAAATTAAAGCTAAATACACTTAATTTAAGATTTTTTTTACTTCTTTCTAGATCGTTTTTGCAGTGCATCAGTCTTGAGATACTACATCAGCCAGGGACTCTTTTTTTTTTCTCTAGTAAAGATGCTTGTCTCACAGGCCTGTGTCCTCAAGGACATCAAAATCAAGTTACTTTATCTTTGAAAAAACGCAGCCTGAAAACAGACCTAGAAACTGTAGTAAAACAGTTGCTCCATGGTAACTTGCATTGGTTAAATCCATCTATTCTTTTGTCTGCTCTGGCCTAAAATTGAAAGCAAAAAAAAAAAATTGCTAGCTGTGTGATTGAGTTTCAAACCAGTGATATGAAAGTTAAGAGTCAAATGCTGATGTGAATGAGATTCTAAGTGACTGATCTAAGTGTTAAACTCTTGATGTAAGGTATCACTGATGACAATGATGTCGATCAATAAGAAGTGGAATAAAAATATAGTTTACTGTCTGAACAAGACAGCCAGCGCTGGCTTATTTGGATCAGAAGAAAGACACGCTGAAAGGTGAAACTGCCTTTTATCCTGAGATCTGTGGCAGCTGCTGGCAGGCATTTGACCTGCTAATGCATCACATTACTTTCAGGACGTGTGAATTCAAAGAGATCTTAAAAAAAAAAAAAAGCCAGCTGGTGGTAGTATTTCAAGGCTACAAAGGATATTTTGTTTCCCAGCTATTAATTATTATTTCCTCAGAAAGACCTCTTTTTTCCCTTGGAAATTTTATTTCGGCTTTAAATTGTAATAAAAAAATAAATAAAAAATGAGTTCTTGAGAACATACGATGCGACAAAAGGCGAAATGTGTAAATATTTCTAAGCTCTTCACCACACTTGAACATTTGCGATACAAAAAGCTTTTTCTTTAACCTTTTAAAGCCAAGTGTATCATATTTGTTACATGAGTTTTTGAGAGTTCTGCATCATCAGTGGGATGTTTTTGTTCTTGAAACACTCACTTAAATACTCACACATGTAGTAAATAGAAAATGTATAAAAGATTATACAGAATTGCCTAATGTATCAAATTTGACACAAATAAATGATGTAATGTAAAAGCTAAATTCCAGCCATTAAGCTAAATTCCAGCCATTTTCATCTCCGTTCCACCAGGTGGCGCTCTTACCAGGTTCCAATGGTTTTTACTGAGCTGGGGAAGAAATCCTTCTCTTACTTTGCTCCATGGTCCTGGAATAATTTGCAAAACTTGCTCCATTTAAATGATCTAGTCCCAATGAATGAATTTAAGGCCATGTTAAAATGTCATGTCATTCAAAAATGTAACTGCCCTATGTGACCTGTCTTTTCCTCTATGTGAGTTTTTGTCTATGTTGTATTTCTGTTTGTATTTTAACTGGTGTGCCGTCTTGGCCAGGTCTCCCTCGAAAAAGAGATTTCAATCTCAAGGGACTTCCTGGTTAAATAAAAAAATGTAACTCATACAATATTTTTCAGAAAGTTTTTCAAAAAATGTGAATGTTCTTTTGATTATTTCATGGTTCTGGCTTTAAAGGGTTAAGCAATAAAAATAAAACATCCAGGCCTGCTTGATAGCTTGACCATTAAAATCTTTTCAAGCACATTTGAAGAAAAAAAAAATTACAACAAATAGGAATGTTAGCCCCTAAAAAAAGCAACAGTCAAGTGTTTAAATGTCAAAAGCTAAAAAGATTTGGCTTCTAAACTAATAAAGGCCAGAATCAGATTGCGCAGGTGGACATCAACTCATGTCAAAGCCGTTTTATTGTATTAACACAAGAGTGCAGATTACTACCAACAATGTGGCTTGTTTGTCTTTGACTAGGCTAAAGAATTTGGCAGGGCCCCTTGCGCTCACTCACTTGCAATGTTTAAAAATCACAGCTGGAAAAGGGGTTGGAGAGGGCGGGTCATAAGCTCACACTGCAAAAAAAAAAAAACTGCAAAAAAAACAATAGTGCATTGAGGCATTTCATAAATAAAACCTCTATTTACTGAGAAATGTGCAAACTTCAATGGATTCAACTGAAAAAAAAAAAAAAAAAAAAAAAAAAAAAAAAAAAAAAGAGTAGACAGCTCTCAGTGAATTTTCCTCCCTGGGGAAAACTGAACAGTCATAACGCTGCACTGACAGTAAAGTTTTATGCTTATCCGTGTCGTGCGCTGCTTTTATTTCTTTATGCTTCTCTGCCAGACATCATTCCTGGCTTCTTGAAAGCAGATAGCATCTGGAGCAGAAAGCCAGAACAGAGGCCATTCAAAATAGTGGGGAATCTTTTACACTAGAAATGAAGATAAGGTGCTCAAAACGTATTCCTCTTGTCGCCAGACATAAGAAGAGATAATAAGGTTGGGAATGAAGACTGTTGGGTTAATAATGGTTTCATGAGGAAAGGGGGCTGGCCGAGAATGGCTGTTTTGACATCCAGCATGATAGAGAGCGGATCCAAAGCAAGGCGTCTGTCCTTGCAGAGTTCATTCCCTTTTTATTTCCCAACAATAACCTGCATTTTATTTAAGCGGAGGTCAAACTAGAGTCGGAGCCATCAGAACGGGCCGCATGATTACGAGCAGATGACAAGAGGAGTGCAGGCTTTCTCAGGAAAGGCTGTGTTTACATGAAAGGTGGCTACGGTTGTAGAGCATAAAAATGGTTTACCTTACCCCCACCCCCACGCTTTATGTGTGATGTTGAGACGGTGCGGTAAGCGTCACCAGATGGCCACAAAAGCACGTGTGTATGTGTGCGTTCTGTGAACCAATGCAGCCTGTGTCACATAGACAGCCCGACCTATGCTGTGCAGACAACTCATCCAAGTCCACCGCATACACTCACTCTCACATGCAGCTCCTCTTAAAGCCTCTGCTTGCAATAACAGTCCATCTCGATCTTTTACGTGCCTAGGCAGGGTGCTGCAAGCCTACAAAACCTACTGTACTTTGGTTTAACAATTGCACTTCATCCTTTTACCGCTCAGTCTTCAGGTTTGTGAATTAGTCACAGTTTAAAGCTCTTTTCTCTGTAGTGTCTGCTACATAAAAATGTCTGACCTGTCTTGAATCAGAGAAATGAGTGGGGACAGACCCACCCAGCTTGCTACATGGAGGGGGGAGACCAACAAAACCATGACAGCAAATATGAGGGGGGAGATGAGGCGGGGCTTAGCAATAAAAAAAAGAGGGGTAGGCAGATAGGAAGAGGGGAAACTGCTAAATAAGGATTTTACATTTCAAGAAAACCTAAAACTTTACTTTAAGTGTAAAAATGCATGTTGGGAAAATTGTGTTTGGTTTATTGTGATAGAAATTAAAGTAAATATTCTGTGATTCTTTAGTGCTGCTTTTAAACAAATTATTCTGTTACTTTTCTGTGTTGATTCATTCAAATATCAATATTTAAAATTATAACGAAGGGTATATAATCCTCAGTTTAGAAATTGATTATGTAAACATAAAAAGCCTGACATGATTGAAAGTCGTTGGGACAAGTCCCGAGTGGTGCCCGACTTTACAGGTTCGCAAGCAGGTTTGGTTGTAGATGGTTTCTCGGAAGCATCTTCCTAACCAGTTAGCAACTTAGTGCTAGCAGGTTCCCAATGGGAAATTCCATTGGGACCAAGTAGCACTAAATTGGTGACTTAGTAACGACACTGTCAAGGAACGCTATGGACAGAGGAAACATGCAAGAGGAGGAGAGTTTTTTGTCAGAGGTCGTGGATGAGTCTCCATCATACATTTTTTATTTAGAGGAGGAAAGCGGGTTGAAGTTGTTGTGGAAGAGGACGCCAGGGCGGCAGAAGCTTGGTTTGGTGTAGAAGGCTTCCAGCCGTACATGTTTGAGCACTTGCCTCGCAACAATGCCAGTTCTGTTAGCTCTACGCCTGCTGAAGACACAGACGCCCATCCCTGTTAACACTGGGACGGAACTCAATAGTCAAGTAAATGATTCTTATTTATTTCAACCATTGCGTATATTAGCTGCAACATATGAATAAGGTTGCTATGACCCAAACAATTTGACAGATGACCGTTGATATATGATTGGCCGAATTTAGGTGTACAAGCCGACATATAACTAACTGGGCTCCATAAAATAACGAAAAAAACCCCCACAGATTTTAAGACAGGATTTTTTTTTTTTTTTTATAGAAATTTTCTACATTTTGGAACAATATTGTCTGAAAAAGAATACATGAATATACACGTTTAAGCCAGAATGATTTGACATTTAAATACGACTTACCTACAACTTTCAATATAAAACAGTGAAGGATGTTGATGTTCTTACTTTTTGAAAGCTTCTGAAGGGTTCCTTTCACACTCCCCTGGCTGCAGAGCACTCTGAACAGACGGGTCGTGGACCTTTTCCTCAAATCCCGGCAGCAGCCCACCTCTGCATATCTGCGCCACCAGACCTCGGATGAATCCGCCGACACACAACGTGTCCGAGTCGTCCGCCCGGCAGAAATGGAAGGCCAGGCTGTGCTTGTGCAGGCTGCGGTGGGTTCCCTGGACAGACGTGGGCCACAGCAGCTCCGTGCACAGGGCCGTCTTCCCACTCCCAGGTCCTCCCACTAGTAGCACACCCCAGGAGCTACCGGACTTTGAAGATCCAGTCGTGATCCCACCAGGGAGGGGTACACCCCCACTGGGCACAGGTAGGGGCTGTTTACTGGGAGTGCTGCTCACCCCACTGAGGTTGTTGGTTTTCTCCTGGAGGCAATGCTGGATCTTGTGGAAGACCCATTCTCGGCAGTAAAAGCGCTTCCCCTGCAGCAAGCTGGTCTGAGCCATTTTGAAGTAATGCTGCTGTTCCACCTCTTCCTCCTGAGCATAGGGGTCCTTTTATTTTTCCCCATGCATTTTGAATTTCAACAGAAGCCAAAAATGTGAAAATCCATTTTCTAAGCAGCAAACTTTGTCCCCTGAAATCTTACCGTCACTTGATTTGAAGCTGAACACAGCAAACAAGCCTTCCTTTGAACGGCTGGAATATGTTAAGAGATGATCTAGATTGAAATAAAAAGAAAACACTCAAACTGTAGATTTTCCACCAACTTTTTCCACAGCTTCCCTACTGGTTGAACTGAGCGCTTCTTGTTATTGTCCATATGTTGTCTTAGCATGACGCTGGGCTGGGAAGGGCAGGGCACCCGGCTCTTGAGAGGCAAACCAAAGCCAGCACCACCCGAAATGATTAGCCATGGGGGTTCCTGATATATTTCCACTGATGCATTTCAGATGCTGTGGACCAAAAGCACGTTTCCATTACATTAACATGGATGAGGCTGCCAGTGCAAAGTCACTCTCTGCAATAACAGTCTGAATCCATCTCCTTTCCTGGAAAAAAGGAGAGAGAGTATGCAGATTAAAGCCAAAATCCAGTTCCACTGTGATCAAAATCCACAAGTAAGCACAGGCTGGTCACAGCTGTACATCCATACCAAAGCTTTTTACACTCACAAGTCCCCCCCCCCCCCCCCCCCCCCTATTAAGTATATTATAACAAAATGGTGGATGGCTACAACTAACCACTAATTTACTGATCGATGAATCTGCAGATTCTTTTTCTATTATTCCATTAATATTCTGATGGAAAAAGGTTCCTTAAAGACTAGAATATTTTACACAGAATTTAAACCAAGTGAAGCTAAAACTGTTCCCTTACGACTTCTGGATGGGGCACATCAATGGGATAAAAGAACAGATTTCCTCTTGAAGACAAAATGTTTACATATGTTTTAGGGCTGTAACTAATTATTTTGCAAATCGATAAATCTGTTGATTATTTTTTGGATTAATTGATTAATAATCGGATAGCCAAAGGTTCCTTAAAAATGTTTTCATGAATTTAAACCAGGTGAAACTAAAACTTTTACACTTGAGGGTTTCTGAATAGAGCATGTTGACAGGCAAAAACATTTTTTAAATGTTAAAGTATCTTTTTAAAATTTTGATACAATTACTGCTCTAAATGTGTTGTTCTGCATGTTTTACAGTCTCTATTCTCCAGTTAACGATTATTAGATTACTAAATTAGGTGATGATTATTTCAATAATCGATTAATCATGATTATTGCTATTAATTTTTTCAGCACCAATAAGTTTTACGATTTCGGTAGAGCAACTGCTTTGAGTGGGCTCCTCTTTCAGCTAAAGACATGTTTGAGAGTCTTTGTACTAAAGTTAACAATAACTAAATCAGTTGAAAATGATTTCAAGAATCGCTTAACCTAGCCTGATAAACCAGACTAAATGTGAGATTAAATGTGTAATTTAGTCTGGCCCCAGATGAATGAGACATCGGAAGTTTGTTGATGTGAACAACTGCTGTTTTTCAAACCATGTCTGTGCCTATTGGCCAACGCTCTGACCAATGAGCGCAACTGACTGTGACGTAGTAAGCATGACAGAAAGCTGGTGAGGGAGTGTAAACAAACAGCATGTTTGTAAAACGGCCAATACATCCTTCTTAACAATGAATGAGCGTAGAGCCTGTTCCTGCACACGTTTCAACGAAAACCCCAAGGCTAATCCTTCCAAAACTGATTCCAAAGCTGAGTCAAACGAGAACTCTTCATCATTTGTTGCCATATTCCTTGTACTTTCTCCAGCATCACGCAGCTTTGTCATCATGCCCTCAAAACCCCGCTCGCTTTGCATCCAGAAATTCAAAACACATCTCTGCGTTGTGATTGGCCCGCCAGTTCTAGGGCCTGGGACATTGATCGAGGCTAGACCACTCACAGGCAAAAATGATTTTGGCCACTGGCAGGTGGGGCTAGTTTATCAGGCTACGATTAACCATGATGAATACAATTAATTGCTTCAGCCCTAGAGTGGTGCACATCCTTCACCTGTTGCTGCACACTGCTAGTAAGATGGCTGAAAGCAGGCTTCTACACTTTTACCTGCCTTACCATAAAAACAAATGAATAAAGAAAAGAGCTAGTCAAAGATGCTGCCAATCAGTTCCATGCAGATTCTGCTAAAAACTAAAAACCATGTTTTTTAGGCTTGCGGCTGCAGCTGAAAGATCAACAATCTTACAACTATTGCTTTAAATGAGGCAGAACCAAACAGAACCTGCTAAACAGCCACTATTGAAGCAAAAACAATCCACGATTTAGTTAGAAACATACCACAACTCAAAACATGCACATGTTTTTAATAATATATAATAATATTATAATAATATATTACAAGTTTTTCAGTGCTTTCATCCCACATCTCTGCCTGCATGCCTGAACTGAAATTCTTGGCAGCTTTTTTTTGGGTCCAGTTTCTCCAGCCTATCCACTGATCCCCTCTTCCTTCCTATGTGGCTTTAAATCCCAAACAGTCCACATCCGTCCTAAACTGAGGGGAAAAGTCCCCATTTTCTCCCTCCCTGCACCTACAAGTGTGTGTGTGTGTGTGTGTGTGTGTGTGTGTGTGTGTGTGGCGCAGGGGAGGCACTCAGCACTAAAATGCATTTAAATGCACCCTAAAAAAGAATACATACAGTTAAAAAAAATAGAATGATTTTAAGCTAAAAACAAACATGCACACCTTATAGCCACTTTGTAAGGTTTCCAGACTGTCATAGCTTTGCACCTTTCTGTGAGGCGCTGAATGCATCCTACAAACAACAAAGGTTTCAATAAATGCTTAAAACGTGAGGGGCCAGCTACTTTAACAACAAAAAAACAATAATATCATTTATCTCAGCTAAGGGAGACAATACAAATCCCTCCCAACTGATAATGTTGAAAAAAGCCTGACAAACCTCATCCTAATAGGACTAATAACAACCAAAATAGCCGCACTAACTAAATGCCTCTGTAGGTTGAATGTAGCCTAGCTTGTCAGTGAACCAATTGTGGAGCGTTTGGCTGTTTTTCGGTTCAGTTTCTGCCGTCTGTAACAACCCACCAACGGGTTTCCTCTCACCTCTCTCGCAGTATTCTCTTTTTTCTTTAGGGGGGGTGTAGCTTCTTTCAGGCTCCCTTAATTCCGCATTCAAACCAAACCTTTTTATATACAACCCTCCTGTTTTCGTCGCTGTTTAAATCCTAGTCTTGAGCATCAGGGTATCGTCCGGGTCTTTCTTTGATTCGGTCTTTCTTGCCGGCGGTCGGCTCCTCCTGCCGCCCGACACAGCTCCACAGCGAGCTGACTGATTCTCCGCCTCCGAGCGCCCTAAATAAATGCGCTGCGTGCACGTGCCAACTGTCGCCGCAAGGCTCCATGGGAAATGTAGTCTTAAAGTCCAGATGTCTTTGTTTAGGTTCAAACAGGGTTAGAAATTGCTAAAATAACCTGAAAAGTGCTTGCTTGCTTTCTTTCTTTCTTTCTTTCTTTCTTTCTTTCTTTCTTTCTTTCTTTCTTTCTTTCTTTCTTTCTTTCTTTCTTTCTTTCTTTCTTTCTTTCTTTCTTTCTTTCTTTCTTTCTTTCTTTCTTCCTTTCTTTCTTTCTTTCTTTCTTTCTTTCTTTGATATGTGCTCTGGATCAGAGGCAGAATAGTTTGCAAATTCAACTTGGACACACTGTAGTTATAAGGACCGTCATAATATTCAACCCTACAGTCCTTGGATTAAATGCATTAATTAATGCATAAGTACTACATGGCTGCAACAAACTAAAGTTACATCCCCTCTTTGAATATCTCATGTTAATGTTTGGATTCACTCATGTCTTGGGCTTTTAGTTGTGAAATCTTTGTAAACTGACTAAGCATTAAATAAAATGATTGGTCCCATAAACTTGAAAACATCATAGGAGCAATTTCCAGAGACCTCCAGGTGTAATGTTAGAGGAAGGAGCTGTAATGTGCAAGCTTATGTTTTCACAAATGGCACCTCTTCTGGAAAAAAAACTGTACTCCTAAACATGTTTCCACATGTATGAAATAAAAGCTTACCTTTCCTATTGTTCTCTCTCAGCACAACCACTGCCTTTTCCCAAAGCAATCCGATGTGTAATGCTGAACCATGAAATTGGGCTCCTACAGGAAATCAGATCTGAAGTGGAACCTGTCTTCAGCACCAGATTGAATTATCTCTGCAAGCACAGTCAGCATCAGCCGGAAACATACTGCCGGTTATTACAACCTACGGCTGTGACACCTTAAAGTTACATCCCTGGAGAAACTTCTTTAGAGAATGTTCAACAAGATGTCGGATCAGCAGCTTTGGATTAGATCAAAACACATCAGTCAGAAACGCCTTGGGTTTAGTTGAAAGGTTGAGAAAAAACAATTTCTCACGTTCCTTATTTGCAACAGGACTAAAAACTAATTTATTCATCTTTAACTGTAACAAACAAATTCTTGTAACATCACTAAAATTCACAAGCATTTAAAAATTCTGCAAGATCATTAATTGCATTTGTGTGCTTAACTACTGCCAAGGCAAGGCAAGGCAAATTTATTTGTATAGCACAATTCAGTACAAAGACAATGCAAAGTGCTTCACATTAAATAAAATATAGGAAAATAAAACAGAATCAAAGCAAGTAGGAAAAAAATGCTGAAAAAAAAACATTAAAAATAGTTGGACTAAAGAAAATAAAAAAGTTGAATTAATTATGTTTCAGTTGAACTGTTTGACTAGAACAGTCGAAGGCAATCCTAAACAAATGTGTTTTTTGTCTTGATTTAAAGGAACTCAGGCTTTCCACACTTTTACTGCCAACGTTGCAGATCACAAAACGTAAAGAATATGACATATTGCATGGTAGAGACTCTGATGTCAACTTAAATTGTGCTTTCTGCAGAATTATCCATGGGAATTGTTCTGACATCGATTGGCAAAAACTCCTTCCACATTAAGTTCAAAAGTTAATTTTCAAAACACACTCCAGGCTTCTGCTCGCCATCAACAACAACATCTGGTATGTCATCTGCAAGGTTTGAAGCACATCACAATTTGTGGCACAATCATTAAGCAAACCACCTGGGATGGATTTCATCTCCTGTTAAAACTTGGTTCATTAATTTCTAGCGGTTCAATAAACATACACACAAACAGCTGCTGTGATTTCATTTAATTGGAAATGCATCAAGGGATAAAAACAGAAACGAAGCCATCTCCAAAAAAAGGGATGCAGTTCAATTTAACGTTGCTTTATTTGTTTTTTTTTTGACCAGTGCAATTCAAATAACAAGAATGAGATGGGAAAATTAGGTTAAGACCTGTTTCTGATACAGGAAAAGAAGTTGTCCAGGCAATAGCAACAAATGAAATGCTGGGAGCTTTATAAGTGTATATGAAAAACAGCTTTTACACATAATAGTAACCTTATTCTAAAATAAAACAACAACAAAAAAAAAAAAAAAAAAAAACACAAAAAACTGATAAACAGATCCAAAGCCTTTATACAGGGGTTCCTTAGTGGGGTGCTGTTACTTAATATAATTGGAATCAAATGAATAAATATCCAATTTTGGAAGATTATGTAAAAAAAAAATCTGTTATGCAGAAAAAAAAAAAACATTTTTAATTTAAAATAGCTTTACTTTAAAAGAAAAGTTTTAGGATTTTAATGGGTTCCTGGTTTATCTTTGAATTGATTTGTTATAAGTTCAATTAAGTGCATGACAAATCCCTTCTTGTTTACAATTTCTCCCAGTTGAGCTCTGTATATCTGCAGCTCCTGTACGTCATTGTGGGCTTCTTCTAATCCAAATGATGCTATCCTTGTCGAGTCTATAAACTGAGAAAGACAGTCAGACCATGGATTACAGAGAGCTCTATGAGATGTTCAAAGCTTTGAATATTGTTTTATAGTCTAACCCTGCTTGTGTAAAAGTGACTGATTTTAAATCTCATTAAAGACAATAATTTTTCATTTAGTTTTTAATTATAGTAAAGCAGTAGGACCAGACTGTGTTTATTAATAGTTTTTTATGTTCTCAGCTCTTATTATTATCTGCTCTTATTCAATTAGTTTTATTGTATAATTTTTCAGAATTGTTTTGTTTTTGTTGTAAAGCACTTTGGTCAATAAGGTAAGGCGTACTACTAAAAGTTTGACTGACTGGTTGAATGCAGGGGCAGATCTAGATGAATTGACAGTGGGGCCATGGCCACCTTTAACCAGTCACTGCCCACCTCTGTGGCTATTCCTATCAGCTAATGGGCTATATGCCCCGCTCCACTACAGTACTTCCTGAACTTCAGCCATTCCTTTGTTTTCTTTCTTTCATAACTGGACAGATTAATCCAGGTGTGTCTGGCATATGTCATATTGGTAACTGAGGTCATTCTGTCCGGTCATGAAAAAAGTAAAAAAAAAAGGAACTTGTAGGAAGTTCAGGAAGTAGTGGAGTTGGTTATATAGCCCATATGTCGTTACCACTGGAACATAATTCACCACCTCTGAAACAAGCAGGTCTCTGCCTAACCAGAGGGTGGCAGCAGTGATACCATCATGTGGAATGTTCTTCTAAAGGGTGGATTATACTTCTGCAACCGCACACATCAAATGTCCCTTGGGTCTTGTCGCCAACCAGTTTTGCTGGTATGCTCCTTTAACGTCGATCTGGAATTTCTAGGGACGCACAGCAGTCTCCCACCAAAACGCTAGGGGGAGCCTATCCGAGAACTCACACGAACTTCTTCGGCAGCACCGGCGGGAGTGTTTAGTTTCCAAAACAACAGGTCAGTAAGTATTTGTACTTCCGAATCTCCGTGATTAACCTTTCGTCTTAATTGTCCATTGTAGTTGCTTTTAAAAGTGGCGCTTCCTCGCACGAATCAAGAAGGACGACCACACAGACAGCCGGAAAGGCATACCAAGGACCAATCACAGCTGCTTTTTTTCTGCGCGCTTTCGGTTGAGGTCTGCGCGGTTTTGAGACCGTTCAACGCGTAGTCAGGATTTTTTTTGTGCTGCATGACGACGATTGCAGAACCTCTGTGTGGGGGCGGTGGTAGAGACAGATTTGACAGTTGCAGAGGCTATGCGTCAGAAGTATAAATTGGCCTTTAAAGTTAGCATATTAACCAACATATGACAACAAAATAGGGCATTCGATATTTTCCACAGTTAAAGATGAGTCATACAGAATTCATGTTCTTATAAGAATTAGTTTTTATGTTTTATGGAAAAGAGTTTGTCTCTGCAGTTATCAAGGAGTCTTTTACGTAATGAAATATAAAGAATAACTTCTCAACCACTTTAATGTATATACTATGTAGAAACATAGGTACTTGTAGACAGCAGAAATTTATAGAATATGTGTGTTGCTTTATTAGCAAATGTCTCATAAAAATCTAGTCTGTGTTAGATTATTTTTTGTAAAATTTGGATACTGGGCTCATTCATTTTCCTGTTGGTCCTGAACTGGTTTTGGCACTTATCAGTCCTCGACCACCTCTATGAACATTTTCTGGAACCACTACTAATTAAATACATGACTTTGTTGGTTTATTACATATAACTCCGACAACATCATTTGAAGTTTTTGATCATAGCAAATCAAAATGTGGAAATTTTCCTGGGTTGTGAATACGTAGCAGGCATAAATATGGTTTAAGTTGTCACATAGCTGCCATTTTAAAATAGCAGGAGATATGAGTCATCAGTGGAGGAACTTCTATTGTGGTGACCACGTTCAACAACACTAATATTAAAAATGACTGAACAAAACCACTTTAACAATTATCTTCAAGAACGATTGCATCATGGAGAAATAAATTTAAAGAAAATATCCCAAAAAACCAAGTGATTTTAAATGCAGTTTTTCATTAGAGTGATTTCACTTTTCTAACTTCCTGTAACAACCAAGTAAATGCTACCTGCCATTATACAACATACAGTATATGTCTATAGTTCCCTTCTATTCCTGACCCTTAATACTACAGGTGCTGGTCATAAAATTAGAATATCATGAAAAAGTAGATTGATTTCAGTAATTCCATTTAAAAAGTGAAACTTGTATATTATATTCATACATTACATACAAACTCATATATTTCAGATGTTTATTTTGTTTAATTTTGTTGATTACAAATGACAACAAATGAAAATCTCAAATTCATCATATCAGAAAATTAGAATATTACTGAAGACCAATAAAAACAAAGGATTTATAGAAATGTTGGCCAACTGAAAAGTATGAACATGAAAAGTATGAGCATGTACAGCACTCAGTATTTAGTTGGGCCTCCTTTGGCCTGTATTACTGCAG